AGCTAACAGCGGTGACGTGTAATGAATGATCTATACCCCAACTAAGCTATTAATCCCATTATTAGCACTTCTATTGCAAATTCGCTAAGTATAAATGACACTCAGCGCACGTGTCGAAAAGATGTGAAACTCACGTGAAGGTATCTGACATAAGAACAACCACAAATTCCTGAAATGGTATTTCTCATTTCACTGCCCAGTGAGGTTTACTGTAACACAAAAGGAAATTGGCCAATGGGGTCTTCAACCCCGTCTTTCCTTCTACATAGTCAGAAGGATGGCGGAACTTCTCACCGAAAGAAGGTCTTACGAAGACAAACACATACCATTCTCCAACCAACCATCACGAATCTGAACTGCCATCGCGCGCTCTAATCAACCATAGCCATAAGGGTGGGAGCACCTAGAGCTGCACACCGTTTGGGAAGAACATTCCACACATCAGACAGGAGCCCAGCTAACTCTTCAGTCCTCTTCGCGTCGCGCTCGCTGCATCCAATGGCGCTCTGTTGAGGGCGTTCCCAGTACTATACGATAGTCGCTGCGAATCCACCGACATTTGCCGTGGGATTCTGGGAAAACCAGGTACCCCTACCCCATTCAAGCGGGCACTACAAATTCGTACACGAATTGTTTGTGCCCATCGATTACGCCTACAAATTAGCCATCTGACACTCTTGGCTTCGACGATGACCATCCAAAAGATATATAATACTTCACATCATTGGGTTAACCGGCGCACCCACTTTTCTGCACCTGGTTAATCAACCGGAGCCCGGAATGATAATTACCAAAGTTGCTCGTTGATGATAACCTACTATCCATATTAGTAGCCCTTCCTATATCCGCGTCGCGAGCGCAGTGATACGGTTCCCGCAACACAACAACGGCTACCGCGCCAGAAAATCGCGTCCCGCTCGCCACACCCGATCGCGCGCTATGGGGGGAAAGATTGAATTCCCAGCGGAAGGGTACGGTATTTGTGGCGGAATCACTGCCTTCTGCCGCGGGGATTCGGGGAGAACCGCCACCAATACGTGAGAACAGCTGGCTTATCTTCTCGCAATACATCGCAGTTACGATTATTATGACCAAGATAGGGATTCGAGCAAATCGAGCAGAGGAACAATCAGGAGTCGAGATGACCCGTACTGTCACACAAACGTTGGGAGAGAGACTTGTGTCTTCTTCAAAATGCATCTGGCAACATTCGCAAACAGCGAAATTCCACTCCCCTCCACTTCGGAGTTTGTATTGACCAGTAGTGACAGTTTGAACAGATAACTAAGAATGAAAGAGTCAAAAAACTGCTTTCAAATGGGTCGAACTTGCAGTTATACTTACCAAATGTGAGGTATACGCTTTTCCAATTGTGGCATAGCATGTGCCACCGAATAAGAGCAACAGCTGAACAAAAGTGATGCACACCAATGCAATAAAGGTAATCCTATCTTCCAGATATGTAGTTATATTAAACACAATAGGTTATTGAGGAACTCCTGGCGAGATTCATGGTAACATTTGACCCCAAAGCAAACAGTCACACCTGGATCGTTCTGTCTTTACGAAATTGTCCAAGATGGTTCCTCCAATTGCGCACGACACTGCGTCGCGATAACCAGCATGATTGCGTTGGGAGTGAATTCTGTCGTACATATATTGCTTTTTGCTACCTACTTTTTTTTTATTGTGGCTACCTATTCCATATTAAACCTGGTAGCAGTCTTGTTTTGGAAGCAGAATGTTCTGCAAACTAGAAAGCTGTTCAGCTGTTTCAGGAAGCTTTTTTCTTATGAAAGATCACGGTAGCTTGAGCAACCTCTCTCATTTATAAAGCCGAAACTTGGTGTGCCGGTTTGTAGGTTTGTCGGT